CCCAATGCCCCCACACGCGTGCAGTCCCCGCCTCTGCGTACAATTCAATCCGTCGGCGTCACGGTTGATTTTTGTTTACACCACTGTGAAGAAAGCTCTGCGTACAAAACAAGTCGTTTGTTGGCATCACGGGCTCAGTTTTGTATAGAGCTCTTTAGATATCAAGTTTATTGATGTGACTGGCTCCACAGTCGGGACTTTGTCATAAATACTCAACCAAGTCATGAGGCTCTGCACAGAGCTGCTAGCACAACTCTCCGTCACCCTGTGATACACAGAGAGCTCTGCACCTAAACAAGTTAATCCGTTAGTTGGCGTCACGGTTTATTTTTGCTAAGATTTCTGTCAATTCGTTAGTTGGCGTTCAGTTTTGTATAGAGCTCTGAATTACGGACACGGGAAACAGACTTCCGCACACCATTACCAAGTTTTAGGCAGTGTCAGCTTAACTTGCATTCTAGTTAAACTCTGTTTCAACTACTATGGTTTATACTAACTTCCCTAGTCTCTCGGCCCTCTATTTACAGATAGACATGCAGAACTGTCTGGGTGTCTAGACGACACAACATGAGATCAAAATGACCATCATGGCCTTGATGAATCGCTCATTGAAGTTTCACACTCTTTTGTCTTGGAATATGGGTCCTTCACACCTGCTCTGCAGAGCTTCTCCGTGGAGTTTTCTCGTGCAGCCCCTTCTCAAAAGGTAGGCCCTATATTTGACATTGACCTTTTGTCAATAGTATTAAACGCAAAAATCATAATTTAATTAATTACATAATTTCTTATATGCCTACCTGACAAGTGTTTCCTGTGTCAGTGAGTTATAATAAAGACCCACAGGATCTTTCATGTAAATCGTGGCTATTAAAACCATCATGACCAGCAGGAGCAGGGCGCATTTTTGTTGCCTCATTGTTATCTCTTTACAAGCAAACCTGAAAACAAAGACAAAATTAATACTTGAATAAAAGCCCATCTGTGGTGTTAGAGTGCATCATACATCTGACGAAGGTTGACGAGATCGACTGAAATATTATGGTGAGTTCCCTTATTTCGTTGGAACAAGATTTAAAATTTACATGTACAACTGAAAATTCCAATGGTTCAAGTGTTAAAATCTAGTGGGTTTGTTCCTTTTTTTTTAAATTTAATTTCTCCACCAGATGCGTGGAAGGGAAAGGTGTTACCTTTACAAGCTCCCTCCCAAATTACATCAATAAAATGCATTGTAAAAACTGAAATTATATACATTATAAGGGTAGATAAATAAAGATACATACAAAAATATGGACATGTAACATGTCAGTCGGCGCGACCTTAATGCTATGCATGCCCCACATCTGCAAGCCGCAGACCAACTACATATGATGTCTGTGTAAAAGTTGTCCTGAAACCTGCAGCTTACTGACAGGACAAGAAACCATTTGAAATGCAAATTATCAGACTGACTTGACGCTGCAAAGCCGGCCGGGTGGGGATGTTAGAGATCAAGGACATTTAGATCAAGGCACATGAGTCACTTACTTCACTTTGCTTTGGTCGAGCCCAAAGCACACGCCATCCCTCTCTGCCTATCATCAGTGACCGGAGCTCCGCTAACATCTGACTTAAAGCTGTTAATCTAATTTATTCTAAAAAATATGCCATGGCTTCTTTTCCCTTTTGTAGGCTCCCAAAGGACCAGTCTGGAAGCTAGAATAGCAGGATGTCTGACGCAGTGTGCGGCAAGTTTCATGCCTCGAGTTTTGATCTTCTTGAGGCAAATTCTGATACAGCTGCTCGTTTGGGAGTTTTTACTCCCGTCCAGACACATACGGAGGATCTTTGTGTAGCAGGCATTAATGCGCTTCTCAAGGGATTTAGTCAGCGTCCAAGCTTCAGTACCATACAGCAGTATTGATTCAATTTGGGGTTTAATTTGGGTTTTTAGTGATAACTTTGACTGATTTCCAGATTTCTTTTAGCTTATGGCAGCTACTCCAGGCGAGCGCTTTTCTTATTTCAAACTCTTTTTCTGAGTTCTGCATTTTGGCCCCACTCCTGTCAGAGATAAAGGTCCATAGTTTCCCTGGTTTCCTATGAAACTTATCATTGGTAACTATAAGACCAGATTCATTTACTTAATCCCTACCGAGTTTTCCATTCCTGTTATTGGCCACGTGATACGTAAATGGTGCTATCTCTTTCCCAAGATGTGCAATAAAATTGTCTCAGACCAATAGAACATTGTGTTTTGGGATTTCTTGTATTCGAGATACTAGGTTTTCATGGTGACTTTCTGCCTCATCGCTGCCTTCAACTGGTGAGTATTGGACTATGACTGTTAAAGTTAGGTAGCATTCACATATGGAGTTAGCTACTAGTATTCTTTCGTTCTAAGGCGTGACTTCAGCTAAAGCATTTTCTGCCTCTTTATCTATAGGTAGACCTTTTCCACCTACAGAGGCGTTGTTCATATTCCTCCAAGCTGAGGTGGTAATCAGTGTGAAATTTGCATAGGTTTGAAATACTACGGGCTCATCTCTATCCTTGTGCACTATTTTGTGGTCTAATATGCCTAGTATTGACACAGCATATGTGTTACATGAGTTTACTCCATCGTGCCGCTTGCATTCGCCTTGGATTGTCCTGACATTCACACTAGCCATGTTTAGATAGTTTTTGCAGTTAAGTAGTCTGTCTCTTTGTTTACTATCCTCGGCTTCCCCCTTTTCTCGCAGTTGAGACTTTGAAGGAGAAGTGTCATCTGTTTCTGCTAGAACGCTAGTACCCTCGGAGTTAGAAGTGACATTTTAGAAGTATTTTGCTTTAAACACCATTAATACATCGAAGGTGTGGGGCAAAAAGCATATTTATTTGCCCATCAAACAAAAAAAAACAGCTTGTCCTTTTACAAACTTTTCTCCATTTGCTCTCTATACATGAAATCACGTCTATGTTGTATTACGCCGCAGCAGAAACAAAGTAGTCATTTTATTGGACTAAAGTAGTGTCTCCTAGAGTCTCTCGTCATGTCATGGTACATGTAGTGCAGGCATTGTATTGGATATGCCCATGCTTACCTTAGTTTTTGTTGCTATTGTTTTTTTTTTAACTGTAACTTTCACACTGTTGAGATAGGCATGCCCCGGGCCTTCGACACCATCATTAAGTCTGAGATCCTAGATGTGTTGGCCAGAGGAAGGAAGTTAGGACGATGAATTACGTCCTATAAGACTCCTGCTGAGAGGTACTGAGCTGGAAGTCCGTGTTGGATCAGTCTACTCGGCAACAATATGGTCCTGCAAGGTGACAGTCTCTCCCGGCAGCGCTCATATGTTGCCTAGCTTTTGCATGATCGGCAATATCTCAGCCATCTGCATGTTGTTGTCTGACAATGTCGACTTTATAGTGACGAAAAAAAAGAAGACACGTTAGTTACACAACCACATATTTCTGCCAAAAATGGGGAAAAACACTAATTCATAAAGGAAGTAAATTGAACGATTTTTTTATTTAACTAAACGGTCGAGAAACTTAAATAGAAAAAAAAATAAACCCCTCAGAGGCCAAGAGAAATGCATGTTCCGTTATATATTGCATCCAGGTCTCTGTAGCAAATCCGGATACAGTAATCACAATTTCTGTGGGAAAGAAATTACATCATGCCTCTTAATTTCAATAATGAGGGACAAACTGGATGGGGAAATGTTAATATTGCGTTTCAATACCACAATGTAGTACTAATTACCAATACAGCGCTTCGTAATAACAATTAAGGGTTAATGACCCGCCACTTCTCCTTGAATATGGTGTGATAAAGCCTTGTCAGTTGCTATGACCAAGTTGGTACTGACAAGACTTTATCACACCATATTCACCAAGAAAGGGCGGGCCATTATCACACTATTATCATAGTCTGTCAAAATTTACACAGTAAAGAGTGACACATTCCTGTATAACACATACAAACTTAAATTATATAACAAACCGTTACAGTCACTCCTCTAGAATGTTTCGATCTTAGAGAACACATGTTAGAGAATAGTTAACCTTTATTGTTACACATACTCTGTACTCTGTACTAACGTTATCCATACATGTATTTAGCTTTGTTAGATATTTAGTTAAGTTGTAGAAGACAAAAGTCTCTGTACCTTTGTGTTGTGTCAATAAAGAATCTTTATCTTCCCATCCGCTTGCCACTGTTCCTGTGCATCTTTCCCGATTCCAAGGACCCACATATTGAGTCTAAATTGGCCTCAATCAGTTCTTCTATGACAAATTCTGACATGTAGCATTGTCTATTGTATTACCTTTAGTGTGATTTTTTTTACCTGTTCTTTCAGAGTTCATATAAGTTCACCGGAACTTTGAAACAGAACTGGTATTCCATCTGTTGTTATTTTGGGCCAAAAAAATAGAGCAAGCTTCCATTTAAAGTCATATGAGGTCATTTGGATGTTTCAATACAGAAATGTGGGGGTGGCGCGAAATATTTTTTTTTCCGTTCGCTCAAAATTCACATGTATTGACATGGTCTGTATTTTGTTATATATTGCTAAATAAATTGGTTGCCTATATGATAATTGCTCATAAAAAATTCTTATCATGCTTTTTAATAAAATGCTATCGAGACGCCGATGACTTTATTGTCATAGTTCCAAATGCATGGATATTACTTTTTAAAATCAATATAAATTTTTGCTTCCCTTAACAGCAACTAGTGTTATTTCCCTAATTTCCCTAAAAGTAAAACCAACTGAAATGGATATATGCATGCCAATACTTACCATCGACGCTGTTTAAAGTCAAAAGTTTCCCTTCAAAACTCCTAGTAACAACTGAGTGTAACAACTAGAATTATAGGAATCCCTGCTGATCCCTGCCTTCTCTGTCTATGAGACGAGACCTTGCCACATTGAGAACTATTCAACATGTATTGAATGACACTGATAACCCCTGCATGACTTTGTATGTGTAGCGCCTCAAAGCACATATAACTTAAGACAAAAGAAACAGTCACGCTACACATTCAGTAGAACGAAACGTCATGAAATGTCGTTTATACCACGGGCTTTGAAGATTTTATCTCATCATTCTACATAGTGGTATATTGATTTTATATAAATAGTCTGTAAATATGGCTCTTTTAATTATTACGATTGTATTATATGTATTCTGTAATTTGGTGATCAATGACCAGATTTTGATATTATATCTCTGTCATTTTAACTTATTGGATAGTCCATGATACGTGCAGTGTTTGTGAAAATTCGATATATTTCATGTACCATATGATTGTGTGACATGCCAGTCGATTTTTAAATAAACTGAAACTGAAACCGTCTGCATGTCATCAGACACCTGAACAAATGAGTCTAGCAGACGTAATCACTGGGTGTCATCCCAACATGTTAACACTTACTATACCGGTGTGTCGAGTCTACATAGGCATTTAAATCTTAGCTCACCCGCTGGACTTTTGTTTCCATTTATAGCATATTCTACAGCTAGACTAAAATCAATATTCTTTTGTAATAGCCTGTATCGTAATATTTTAGCCCATACCAAACGTATAGAAGTAAAAAAAAATATTGCAGTCTAATGTTTCTTCGCCTTACATTGATTTTTATTGACTAGGTTTAAGTTCTTTCTTTAGACAAAATCGATAAAAAAATTGGCATAAAAGTAGAGTGGGAAAATATGATGAGTGTATTTCTGTGACCTTTTTTAATATTGTCTCCACACTGACTTTTGTCTTCAATACACTGACTTTTGCCTTCCCTACACTGACTTTTCTCTCCCCTACACTGACTTTTGTCTTCCCTATACTGACTTTTATCTTCCCTACACTGACTTTTGTCTTCCCTATACTTACTTTTGTCTTCCCTGCACTGACTTTTATCTCCCATACACTTTATTCTTCTTCACCATAACTTTTCTCTTCCCTTCACTGACTTTTGTCTTCCCTACACTGACTTTTGTCTCCCCTACACTGACTTTTGTCTTCCCTACACTGACTTTTATCTCCCATACACTTTATTCTTCTTCACCATAACTTTTCTCTTCCCTTCACTGACTTTTGTCTTCCCTACACTGACTTTTGTCTTCCCTATACTGACTTACGTTTTCTCTACACTGACTTTTGTCTTCCCTACAATATTTTCGTCTTTCCTATACTGACTTTTGTCTTCCCTACACTGACTTTTGTATCCCATACATTGTCTTTCGTCTTCTCCACCATAACTTTTCTCTCCACTACACTGACTTTTGTCTTCCATACACTGACTTTTGTCAAATTCTCCACAATAACGTTTGTCTTCCCTACACTGTCTTTTCTTACATACACTGACTTTTGTCTTCGCTACGTATACACTGGCTTTTGTCTTCCACACACTGACTTTCGTCTTCTCCAAAATAACTTTTGTCTTCCCTACACTAACTTTTGCCTTCTTCACACTGACTTTTGTCTTCTCTACATTGACTTCATCTTCCCTGAACTTACTTTTGTCTTCCCTTCAATAACTTTTGTCTTCCCTACACTCAGTCTGACTTTGTCTTTCATACACTGAATTTTGTTTCCCCTATGCTGACTTTTGTCTTCCTTTTACTGACTTTTGTCTCCCCTACACTAATTTTTTTGTCTTCCCTACACAGACTCTGTCTTTCTTAGACTGACTTTTGTCTTTCCTATACTGACTATTGTCTTCACTACACTGACTTTTATCTACCCTACACTGACTTTTTGTCTCCCTACATTGACTTTTATAATTTTGTCTTCCCTATGCTAACTTTTATCTTCCCTACACGGAAAACTGTCTTCCCTCTGAACTGACTTTTGTATTCTTCCCTAAAATAACTTGATATGCTTTGAGAAGGGCAACAGTAATTGAAGACGCTGCCTTTTGTTTCCCTTCACTGACTTTCTGCTTCCCTACAGTTCCATAGACGGACTTTGTCTTACATACACTGACTTTTGTCTTCACTACACTAAATATTACCTTCTCCACACATAAAGAAAGAAAGACTAAATTTTGTCTTCCCCTACACTTCTCCTGACTTATGTCTCCCCTTCACTGACTTTTGTCTCCAAAACCCAGACTTTGTCATTCCTGCACTGACTTTCGTCATCCCTACACTGACTTTTGTCTTCTCTACACTCAATTTTTCAGAGGTAGGTAGCTCCTGTACTCTAAAACAAGTGGAGTAAGTTTTGGCCTCCTACCAGTTTGTTTGGGCTGTTTGTTTAAATACTTTAAGTAGGATATCTCAACCGGTTAACTATTTTGCTTATTGTTAAGGTAGCTAAAGTCATGCTTTACATAATAAGACAAATATGCAAATCAACATAACATAATTATTTAGAAATTATCTTAAGAGACGCGTTTACTGATGGGAAAATTATAATTGTGACATATGTAATCAGGAGGAATTCGCAGAAGTAATTGGAAATTCTATAAATCCACACGACGGGAATTTATATCTGTGACATTTAGAAGTCACGTAAACATAAACATCATTAACCGTAACATATTCCAATCACGACACAATATGCATAATCTGTGAATAAATTCCGGAATAGCTTTCTGTGTTTAACCCTCAACAGTACACCTTCCTGCACTGATTAATCTGTACACCTGGGGTCCGAAAACAGTTTTTGCTTATTTTTTAAAATTCTTAACATGCTACCAGCTCAATTGGTTTAAAAAATTAATGTGTTAACCTCTGAGTCAACATTACGTACAAAAATCATACATTTTGACCTTTTCCTATTTTTCGTGAAGAAATACCAGATTTTTAAACCCTATTTAGACCGAGTGGTCTTTTTGAGGCCAGCTTTAATCTCAGATAGCGCCTGAATGGCTTGCGCTAAACCTATCAAATTTGGTGACCTTTCCTAAAATGTATTTTGAAAAAAATTCATATGAGTTAAATAGGTTAATAATTTTTGGGCTGCCATAGCAACGGGTTTCTGACAGGCATTTTTTTGGATAGTAATTTTGGTTTAAACATAAAAAATTGTCTGGGTTTTACATTAAATAACACTTCCTTTCTGACATTAATAACATCTTACATGATTATATATATTAAAGATCAGTTAAATCATGAAATATTTATAATATATGATAATTTACCTATGTCATTGGTCAAAGTCCAATATGGCGGACCATATTATTAGCTTTGACGTCATATGACGTCATAATTACACCCAAGTTGTTACAATTTAATTCTATTACTACGCCATTGTCTGAAAATTCGATTGCCATACAATAAGTGCATAAAAACATATAAAAAACGGAAATAAAGTAATGTATAAGAACGCCAGTGTATCCATTACGATGAAAACCCGGCTGGGGTCCGCGCGGACCCCAAAAGAAAATCAGATATAACAATTTTTAGAAATTGATGAAACGGAGTTTTCTGCACTGTATTGAGAGACAACTTTGTGGGTGACAATTACCTGAAATTTCAGAAAAAAATCTTAAACAACAACAAAAAAAAAAAATTACACAATATATAGTGCTGGGGACCGTGCTGACCCCGGGTGTACTGTTTAGGGTTAAAGTACGACTGTCATTGGGTACAGAATATGAACAACTGATATAAGTCATGCAAATGATGATCTTTTTTTGCATAACCAATGATACAATAAAACATTTTTTCTTCTTTAATCATAAGGTTTAACAGAAAAGCGAAGTGAAGAAAAGGTAAGAGGCCGTCGAACTCTTTTAGCATCCACCTACATTTACAGTTAACATATTTTGGAACACGTAGATCACTATTAAACATTATTTCCTTCTACTATTTTTTGGAAAATATAATTTGCTTTAATGATTTGGAAACATAATAATTTAGAAAAAAGAGAAATAAATGATAATAAATTCCGAATCTGTGCTTTAAAGTGCGGAGGGGAGTTTAATCACCACTTTAAAAACTACAAGAAACGCATTGGTGCCACATCATCATAACTTTCTACTGACTTAAAACCTGCCATTGTATATACAATGAAGCTGAACACCTGCACCTACTGCTGAAGAGTTCCCAATAGGGGACATATTAGACCTGTAGCTCGGTCACAGACATGCATCGTTTACCATCCAGCTTCAGCAACTACATTAAACATGTCAGTACTAAGAACATTCGATAGGGGGCGTTTGTGATATATAGCTCTGCAACAAATACCCAGAGGCATTGTTTAACATTCAGACTCAGTAACTAAATCAAACATTCCAATACTAAAAACCTCCGATAGGGGGCTTTCCGATGTAGAGCTTTACAACATATGCCCAGATGCATTATTAACATTCAGACTCAGCAACTAAAAAAGCATTTCAGCATTAAGAACCTTCGATAGGGGGCGCATGAGATCTACAACTTTGCAACGATCCACCCACGGAAACTAGATCGATTTCACATTTAGTGCACTTCAATATCAAGTATTTTAATATCCCGATGTAATCCCCATACATTGCTTTTAAGTAAAATATTCTTTCAACGCCTATGCACTGCTATTTAATAACAAGTATTAGCATAGTTCCCATGTAGCGCTTCCTATTATTAGGTGTTTCCCAGGTGTTTAAAACCTCCCTACAATGCTTTTCAGGAAAATGTTATTGAGTTTACCATGTACTGTTATTACAAACAATTTACAAACCCTCATGTAGAACCACTCATTTTATGATATAGTACAAAAAATGACTGAAAGATTCTGCAGCTGTATACGACAGAATCAATTTCCCTACCTAATATTTTTTCACCTCTTACTCAAAACCCCACTTTGGAATGTCGTGGTCCCCTATTAACTAAATGCTTCTGTAATTCCTACATTTAAAAGGAATGACTTCACATTGGTCAGTAATTACTGCCGTATATGAGTTCTACCTGTATCTCTAATATTCTCGATAATCCTCTGTTGAAACAAGATCCAAACGGTATTTTATATAAACATCGATATGGTTTTAGACAGAGAGACTCTACTTCATTTACACTTTATTCAAATAGAATTACTACAGATATTAACAATAAATTTCATCCATTATGATTACGATTATTGCTGAATTTCTTTGATTTATTTACAATATTGTATCTGATTTTTGTTGAATTGTAAATTGGCATATCTTACCTTTCATATCCCGGTGTTATCATCAGATTGTGTTTCCACCCATATCTAAGTCGATATGGTTAATCTGAAATAGAAGCGCCTACAGACGCATAGAGTTACACCTTATCCCCTTGTCATGTTCAATGTGCACCAGGAAAACTAGATTTTCATCCTACTGTAGCAAAGCAGCACTCTGGCTGGTATACGTCGTTAAAACTTACATTAAAATCAGAAGCCTTGAAAGACGCACTATTAAAACTGTTTAAAATTAGTTGATCGTGAATCATCGAACCACACTGGGACTTCCAGGCCTCAGACTTCTAGGCCTCACTGCAAAACATTTTTCGACATTTTGAATTTTATCTAAATATAGCTGAAAGACTATTTTGACGACTTTACGTTATTATTTTGACAATTGCCCTACCATCATGTTTTAAGAAAATGAACTCACCTTCAAAAAGGGTAATCCAAACATTTAAGCAGAAGGTACAGATTTGCTATGCGTCAAGGTACATAGACACTATCATAGTGTGACAAACTTGCTGTGACGCTGCGTTTTGCAACAATTATGTCATTATGACGCAGCATCATCCAACCGTAAAAGAACACACCCAGTCTTCTGATTTAAAACTTGTATTTAATTGCCGTTTTTTCTACTTTCAAAGCCTCAGCACTGCATACTTTGTGACATTAAAGAAATAATTACAATTTTTTCACATTTAATTCTGAGACAGTCAACACTCAAAGTCATGACATCATTATTATAACAGAGAAAAAAGCGGTGAGCAGTATATACATTCTACTGTTACCAAGACACCTACACAAAATGACGCAAAACAACAATCAACTGGGTACCACAAAACAAAAAAATTAAAGCAGCAGACCAAGAAAAACCTGGTGCAGGACATGTTAAAACTAATGCTTTGAGAGAAAAGCGACAGCAAAGGTCAATAGAAGTACACTGTGCCCGATATACCAGATCGAACACACCAGGGTTAATGACAAATGGTAGGAAATAAGTTTAACCCAGGGATATTATCCAATAGTCCCCAAGAGATAAAACATATGTTTGAATAAGCAGCGGGGCAATTCACTGTGCAATGAACTGTACGATTCAACGTGACCTTCATAAACTAAGGTATACAAAACCCGGGTCATTTCAACGGAAAATCATATGCGGACCATTACATTTACATTTTCTGCCATGTGACGGCTGTAAACAGCTTTAAACGGTGTGTGTTTTACTGATGTGATCATGTATTTGATGTAAGTACTGTTTTATGTGTAAACTAGAGTTCGGAGGTCACATGCCTTTGACAGTGCGATATTGTTTTGGTGGGTGTTGTGTGTGTGTGTGTGTGTGTGTGTGTGTGTGTATTATAGGTTTTTTTGACGATTATTATCGTAGTTATAGTGGTAAGAGAGTCCTTTTGTGAACGAAGCAACATACTATTTACCAAGCCTGTACCATGTCTTTCTACGGAAATACGGATCGTAGAATTCGGCAAAAAGGAGAGGAGAATTGGCCTGGGGAGTCTGGCCGCGAAAAGTTGTTTTTTCTTCCCTCCGATGCGCGGCGATCCAAACTTCAAAACGGCAAAAACTCATTTAACTAAATTATTCTTCTATGCAGCCAGTGTTGTTGAAGCGTGCGATGTCCAATACGTATACAATTGACGAAATCACACAAACTGGCCAATTATTGTGATGGTATGTGGTATGTAAGATAAATGGGTTCCTCCCGGTGAGTTGTATCTCTCTAGCGGGCTAACTCCCTTTAGCGGCATACTATTCCCTTTATTTTGGCCATTTTCTACTATTTTTCCAGCAATCCATGGTGTCTGGTAGAAAGTTAATCATCCTCCACAGGGAGAAACTCATTTATCATATACATGTATGCCTTACTTGTTAGAGGAACCGTCATATCAAACTTTTAGCAGGAAACAGCCCGACTTTCTATACCAGCCCGGATGGTGTTATGGATTAGCCCAGGTCCTCCGGGGACGTCCCCAGAGGTACGCCTGGCAGGTCTGAGGTCAGCCTCGGGTGACCTACCTGACGGTTCACATGTATCCTGTCAATGCAATTTAACCTGGATAGAATTCAAATAAAACATGTATCCTAGTTGCAATTGAACAATCTTCAATTTTTGAGCTGGTAGTTATTTACTGGTTATTTCTCAGGTTGGCAAGGCAGTTTGGTTATGCTCGTTTTTTTGTGGGGGCCCACCGGACCCTCTAGTCGTGAAAATCTATCCTTTCAATGGCAGGGCTTCTCTATTCCCTCTCCACACGACCCATTATGAAGAAGATTACATCAGGCATCAAACTCAAAGTCATTCATAGAATACCGCCGTGCTCCTCGCTAAAGCCACAAAGCTTATAAAGATTAGATACTGTTCAATGCGTTCAGACCACTTCCTTCTAGTGACCTGGCCATTGTGTACAGTATACCAACTTTGTTCTCGATTAAAACAAAGTTTGTTATCTTATATCGGGTTTAAATCTTTAAATCCTGTTGCATTACGATACGATATGCACAAAAGTACTAACAAGACTGCACAAATGTACATGCTAATGTTGTACGGAATACAGGAAACCTATTCACATTAATGCATATTCCAGATTTGCCTGGGTGCCAAACCCATCCACTGGACACAAATTATCTCAGTGAGCACTGATTTATATGGGTCTGGAAACCAGGCTAATTCCAGATGTTCACACTGGGGGCCACAGACCTGTTAAATTAAGCACGCTCTGCTGGGGCACTGGGCCACTAATGTGTTTTCAACAATTTCAAAGAAAACGTTTTTTCAACTAAAACTAATGTTGACAGCTTCCTGTCTGTAACTTATTGTTTTAACCTAGATATGAATAGGTTTCCTGTATTCGCAAAAAAAGCAGTTACTCAAGCAACTGGATATGATTTTGGAACGTCAGACGTTTCAGCTACATGTAGTATCCACTAGCTTTCGTCATTGACTGAAGAAGACTGAAGAAATGCAGGTTGATATGCACAAACTATTGATTGATATGTAAATAACATGAAGACAATTTTTGGAAGTCGAAAAAGAAACAAAAGTCAGACAAGTCAAGACAAGAAAATGCAAATTAGGCAGAAAGCTCCTAAATTCTGTTGTTTCAACAAACAGGAAAGTTTTTTCCAGCTATCCTTGTGGGCATAAATCAATGTAATCCACAAAAGGGGTGGAAACCAAAAAGGTCTAGTGCAGTATGAAAGACATATAGATTTCTCTTATTAATTAATCAAATTGGGTCACAATTTACATAGTTAATACCTGTCAATGTTCCTCTTCCTCTTGATTAAATATGCCACCAATTTAAATGTTAAATATTGTTCTATAATGGAACGTAGCAGATTTATAGACTTTTGTCATTAATTATGAAAATTAGATCGTGATTTGCATGATCGTCATCTAATTAGGTCAAGCATCACTTAAGCTACCGAGATTTTAAAAAATAACAATCCGTCAACCGGTTCTTGAGCTATCCTACTTCAAACATTTTCCAACAAATGCCTCTGCATTTCCCAAACAAGCTGCTACGGGGCGCAAACTTACGGCACTTCTTTCGGAGCCTGAGACCTACCTACCATCTAAAAATCATGACCCTAGCTCGTCCAAATCACGACATTTTAAAACCAGAAATTTCGCTGCAGTACTTTCTAATTCAATGACTCGGGGACCCCCCACGAAGCCCATATCCGAACTTGACCTTGGTATTTTGAATGGTAACTTGCCAGCTAAAAAACATGAACATCCATTTAAAGATTCTCAAGTTATCTTGTACACAAGAAAAAACACAAAAAAACAAAGGTCAACTGCAGTGACATAGAAACCCCCACGGGGCCCTTCTTTAAACTTGACCTCGGCATTCTCAACGGTAACTTGCCCACTAAAAATCATAAACATCCATTTAAGGATACTCGATATATTTTGTACACAAGGAAAAAACACCAAAAACCAAGGTCAACTACAGTGAACCGCCCACGGAGCCCATTTTCGGCCTTGACAATGGCCACCCCCAAGACAACCTGCCTGCAAAAAATCGTGAACCTCGGATCTTGCCTTTAAGAGTTATCGTGCATAATCTGCCAAACAGTGCAAAAGCGATTTCATAGCCTTCTCACGAAGGCATAGCCTTCAGTTGAAGGCAATAAACATTGCAAAGGGGATATTGAATATGGCAGTAATAATTCTATTACGCCAATTCAGAAGTTTTGCCTTGTCAAAAATGCCCCTGTATTGTCTACTTTTCTTTACGGCCAGTGCAGCTACTTTGACCCATGAATAATCACCGCCCTATCCGCTAGCCTTTCTGCAGGGTCGACTGTACAAACTAGCCTGACTACATCACGCATCTGACAGACCTTGGGAGGATAGTGAGAGATTGTGTGACATAGACTATATACAGGTTACCTGCTATGTTTCAAACAACATTTTTGTTAATTTTGTCAGAATCATAAAGAACATCTGACGCCGACGATCAAAACAGATCGGCGATAAAACCACCAGAGTGTGTCCTTCTAAACAAAACATATTAGAAATGACCAATTTTCATTTTTAGGGAGTTTTTTTTGTTTGGACAGCAGTATAACATTTTTTCAGGCATTAAATTTGTCATGCTTTTGCCGTGCTTTTGCAATAGATTTAAGGTCTCCAGTGGACGCTATCCATGGAAATTACTTGGTCTGGCCTTAATTCAAGGAATGACCTGACGCATGTTCAGCTTTTCCTCCCCTCACAGTACTTATTGGGCAGCCCCTTAATTGTAAGCAATTGATCCCAGATGGTGAAAACAGCTGATCCAATCTGAATCAATGCAGACGTTGGTGGGGAAAGATAGTTATATATCTAACACAAAAGGTCCACTGCAGCAACATAGCGACCATGACCTTGGCCTCTACAATGGTAGATTGCCTACCAAAAATCATGAACATCAATTTGAATACACTCGAGTTATTTTGCTCACAAGCCAAAAACACAAAAGGTCCTCTTCAGTGACGTATAACCCCCACGAAGCTCAAACTTGCACTCAACTTTGGCTTCAACAACGGTAATCTGCCTGCTAAAAACAATGGACGTCAAATCATGGCTTCAACCGTTATTCTGCTAAATCCGCAGTCACCCACAATCCGGCGAGATAATTTCATACTTTTTCTGACGAAGACAAAAAATTCCTTTAATGAAAAAAAAAACTTTTATACGAATTGTGTAAAGATTTACATACGCAC